GAACCCTTTGTTTTCTTTTCTCGCGCGCTTAGTCCTACAATTAGCCAACTTTTACGGCTGAATAGCTTCGTAATGGCGACTACGACAAAGGGAGACCAACCGAAATTCTGGAGAACGAAGGGGCGGAAACTCGTCCGTATGTTTGTCTAAGGATACCTTTTGTTTGGGATGTCGGGACTGACTTTTAGGGAAAGGAAGCAAACCGCGGGAGTGCCGTGGCCTCTTCATATTTGGACGCATTAGCGTTTAATGCAGATTAACCCTCTAACGCCAACGCCCGAGTTAAGGTGACAAGGGTCTGAAAATAACAATGGGCTACTTACCTACGAGGTAAAGGGTTAATCAGCGACGAGGAAACTCACTTGCACGAACGTGCATACCACCGAAAGCCGCGTTGGCTTTTAACGGGAACATCAAATCGCATATGATTATGCCAAACCGTGAAACAAAGGGTGCTTTTTTTACTTAGACTTAAAGTGATACGAAAGTGGCGTCAAAGAGGTCTCGTACGTGAAACTTTTCTCCCAACTAAATGTACCGAATTTCGTCAATCTTTACAACGTGAACATGGAGGCTATAAGGAAGGTCCCTGAAATTTCAATTTTCTACAAATTTCCTTACAGGTATATTTTTACATTTTGTACATAAAATGAAATTTCACGGGTGAGGGAACTCCATTATAGCCTCCATATTCACGTTGTGGAATTTTAAACGAATCGGTACATTTCTTAACGCGGATTGAGATTTATGCTTTGCTATGATGATTATGCCAAACCGTGAAACAAAGGGTGCTTTTTACTTGGACTTAGTGATACGAAAGTGGCATCAGAGGTCTCGTATGTGAAACTTTTCTCCAAACTAAATGTACCGAATCTCGTCAATCTTTACAACGTGAACATGGAGGCTATAAGGAAGGTCCCTGAAATTTCAATTTTCTACAAATTTCCTTACAGGTATATTTTTACATTTTGTACATAAAATGAAATTTCACGGGTGAGGGAACTCCATTATAGCCTCCATATTCACGTTGTGAAATTTTAAACGAATCGGTACATTTCTTAACGCGAATTGAGATTTACGGTAAAGATGCAGGGGGTAAACTTCCGGATGCTCCACATTCGCTGGAATTTTCAATAAGTCTCTATTGCTAGACATTTTCCTTCCACGACTTTCGAGTCTACGAGATCCCAAGGGAAGGAGTAGCGAAGTTGACTACGACCCTTAACACCTTTACTTACCGCTCGTTCCCTTATTTGAGTACGTAAAAGTTTAATGTTGATTAAAAGAAGGCTAGGGAATTGTCGTATACCCGTTAACGCAAAATATATTGCATAGACCATGCTCTCGCTTCGTTTGATCATTTTCCTCGGAATGGAGCTCTGTTGCATGATGCTCGCGGAAATGTACCAATCCGAGAGAAGCCTTTGTTCTCATTCCTTATTTAGCATCTAATTCCAGACTATTGCCGCTGTTTAAAAATCTCCGCCAGTGAAGGAGAGAAAAAGGGAACGGTTTCGAAACCCCCGGAAGAAAATAGACGAAATCTGCGGTTGGGCTATTTATCGGAAATCCTCTTTTTATTCCGGCTGGTTAGAATTATCGAACCCGCTGGTACTACCGCGGTCTCGGCGAAACAATATCGGATCTCAGGGCGTAATTTCGAAATTCATTTATCTAAAGGCATGGTACTGCAGTAGGAGATACACGAGTAAAAGAACATTATTCTCTTTCCTTTTCCACAAAATAACGCAACCACCTAACGTGATATATGTATATACCATTGTGTCGTATTGCGTCGATAGCGGGAAATTCTGTACATATTGACCCGCCACTTTTCTCCGCGTGGTCGAAATTAATAGTAGATAATTAACCGGCAGTTTCGGGATTTCCAAAGGTCAATTTACGAAGCGAGAAGCCGGAGGCACCTGTCTAGACATTTTTAGTTAACACGGGGGTTGGTGGGAAGGTTATAATCCAGAAGGAGTCCCCGTCCTCTTTCCTTATTTAGCGCCTCATTGCGGACTCGTGCTGGCTGGTGAAAAAGCTCCAGAGAGGAGCGCGGAGGAGAAGAAAGGGTGATGGGACGTGAAAAAAGGGACGAGGAAGGGAGGGAAACGGTAGCCGAGCTATTTGTTGGAAACCTTTTGTTTGGGCCGTTGAAGCTACCTTCGGCCGAAGGTGGCGGACGTGGTCGGGCCTGTAACGTTGTAACCTCTTAATATTTAAACGCATTAGCACTCGGCGAGTTCCTCCCTCTGCCTCAAATCCCGATTCCGAGCCCGATTCCGATTCATTTCACTTTCGACCCCCATTACGAGCGAGCGGACTCGAAGGCAGCGTTTCATTTCGGGGCTAAATGAGGCGTCAAATTGACTTCGAAATTAGCAATGGGAGCCTCGAGGAAGCCCATTCGCTCCTTAGGGCTCTTCGTGTCGTGTTTCACCTTCTTTCTCGGGGTAAACGTACCTTTCCGTGAACGGAAGAGGTTTAATCGTTAGGAGGGTCCGCCACAAAGTGCCGACTTCGCTGTCAAAAATCGTGCCAATTTCGTAATACTTAACGATTTGATACACTCAGTTCCCTAGGAACTTTTTTCCGAATTAAGTGTACCGAATCGTTTCAAACTCGACGATGTGAACACGGAAGGCATAAAGAAGGTCCTGACACCCCTAATATTTTAATTCTTTAAGAATTTGTTTACAGACGTTCTCACAATTTTTNTGAATCCAGAGGATTTCTGGAGTTTTACTTCGATTTCTTCATAATTATTGTACGAAAACGACAGGTGGAATATGCCATTTGGTACAATACCCAATATAATTCGACACAGCTGTCAATATAAAAACCAACGTCGGCAACGTAGGCATTTAGAAAAATCGTCTTTATCGACGTTGATCAAGTTCCTCGACGTGTTTCACATCCCCTTAAGGCTCTCATTCTTCTCCGGGGGTGCGTTACCCTCAGGTGGGTATCGAGAATTCCTCGGTATTTACATTATAAATGCCCCGGGAGCCCGCATCCCTAGGATCCAATTGCTCGTAGAAATCAAAGGACAGGAGTTTCAGAGTCCCTACCCTAAAAGACGGGAAAGTGGGCTCAGGCCTCGGCAGAAAGTCCTCTCGGTTTCCATCCCTCGACCCCAGTGAAACGGCCCCGAAGCGTGTCCACCCCGGACCTCAAACGAAGAAAACCTCCGTCCGCCGACATGCCGTCAGATATCCCGAATCGTCGGGAAATAAAACTCCCTAGCCCAGGTTCCGCCCCCTAGGCGCGTACCCCGTAAGAGCATCGGCTCGACCTCATTTGCCCGATAACCGGCACAAAGAGTATCCGACATCCCCCGGAGCCGAGTGGCCGTAAAAATCAAAGGGCAACAGTCGGGAGCGAGTCCTGGGTAAAAGGACGGCATCCGCGACGTCCAGGCGGAGGTACTCGGGCAGGACACGGCCGCTCCGAGGTAGACATTCCTATTACGCGTGGCATGCTCGGTGCGGACAAAGGTTAAAGAGGGAAATCGTCCCGAAGGGTGGATCGCAGGAGTAAGGGGCGTCGCGGGAAGTGCGGGGCGAGGAGGGACGCGCGCCCCGACGCCGCAGAGGGTGCACGCGCGCGTCCGCGCCACACAGAGTCGCGCTTTGTCGGCCGATCCAACTGTGAAATGCCGCTCCCGAATATCGTGCGTCGAGGAGCTAGACAGCGGAGGGGGGTGCGCGGGGAGAAGAAGGTCCGGCATAGTAAATTCTTTGTGCAATTTGACAGTCGAATCTGAGACCGGTGCAGGTCGCCGTCCCCTCCCGCGCGTCCCAACCCCCCGCGTTGGCGAAAAGCGTCGAGGAGAAGGTTGGGTCGTAGGGTGGCGGTGGCGGAGCCGGCGATGTGGCGGCGCGAGAGAGACGGAGGGAGGGGGGCCGACGGGGGAGCGAGCGAGAGGAACCGAGCGCGGTGGAGCGTAGCTGAGAGAGAGCGCCGCGCGGGCCGGGGGGAGGGGAGCGACGCGCCGAGGGTGGGGGGCGGAGGGAGGCTACAGAGAGACCGGCGGACGCTGCGTCGAGACGCGGCGGAACGTAGTGATCTCTCTCGTCAGTCGTACGATGGCCGCCGATCGAAGCGGGTCCGTCGCGCCAGTCGAGTACAAGGGACACGCCAGGAGTGGCTTTGTTCGGTTATTGACTTAGTTTCGCGAGCGAGTCCGACCGGTTCGCCGGAGGGAGATCTTCCCCGACCGGACGCGCGCTTCTGCCTCCCAACGCGCGTCGCGACGGACGCCGAAATTTCAGGACTTCGAGGATACCTGGGGACGCGAGACGCTCGGACGCGGTCGCAGGTGGTCCCGCGTGCTCGACGTGGGGACGCGGATCATCGCCGGGACGATCGATCTATCGAGTAACGACTGCTCGTTCGGTCGAGATCGATCTCCTTGGCGCGAAGATCGTCGGGGTCTTTGCCTTCCTTTTACGCGCTCCGAGACGCGGAACAGGGGCAAAAGGAGCTGGAGGATGTACGCCTGATACGGGAAATTATGGGCCAGAGGATGCTCGCAAGGATACCTCGCAGCGGCGGGCCGTGGGGAGCACTCTTTTCGAAAAGACGCGCCGAGGACGGAGCCTCGCGGAGACCGGCCGGCCGCGAAGAGGAGCGCGCGATCCGCGAGCCCGCGTCTCGGCGCACCTAGGGAACCGACGGTTCGGCGGACGGCGGCGCGCGGAGCCCCTGGGTCGGCATCATCGCCAGGAGTGATGTGATTTCGAGGAGAGAGGAACCGGCGGTTTGTTTCGGCGGGAGATCCTCGGAGCCCGGTCTCGAAGGCGCTTCCCCCGGCTTCGGGTCGGAGTGATGGCGACGCGACGCGGAGGCTTCGGAGCTTCCTCTTGGCTCGGAAGGTATCGCGTCCTCTGAGGAAGCGACGGCGACGACGTCGGAGGTCTGGGCGCGTACCTGTAGGATGCGCGCGGATTTAGGATGAGCAGAGGAGAAGGAGGGATAACAACGAGCCACCGATGATGCGAGCGCTCCTCCGTTTCGCGGGAGTTGGGGGATCGTTATGGGTTCTGCTAACCAGTCTGAACCTCTGCCACGTGCTCGGCCGGTCTAACGAGGCCGTCGCCGAGCCCCGAGACGCCAGGAGCGAGTGCGCTCGGGACCCCGCCAACGAGGACTCGCTGGTCTGCGACTACGGGTTGACCGGGAATCGGAGCCTGGCCCTGGATCTGGAGAGGATCGACCACGAACTGGTCACCTCCATGAGCGTGAGCTGCGCGCCGGAGGGGGAAGCCGGGGACGGAGGGGCCTCGGTCAACCTGGAGCAATTTCGCCGGCTGCCCCGACTGAGGAGTTTGAGGATAATTGGATGTTCCGGAGTCAGGTGGCCGAGTCAAGCTCTGGCGGGCCTGCAAGACCTCAGGAACTTGTCCGTCAGGCTCTTGCCCGACGCCGGGACCGGGGCGACGAGAGGTCTGGAGCTCGAGGCTGGAACCTTTGACGCGACCCCGCAGATGGAGAACGTCGATCTGTCCTCGAACAACCTGTGGCTGATACCCGAGCGCCTGTTTTGCCCGCTCGGCACCCTGGTCAGCCTCAATTTATCCCGGAACGTGCTGAAGGACGTTACGGAACTCGGCTTCGCGGAGCATGCAGAAGAGGAGTCGACGAGAGGAGCGCGGACGGCCGGCCCTTTGGCGCCGCAAACGTGTTCCTCCAGCCTTCAGGTGTTGGACGCCTCCAATAATCGGATAGTCGTCCTGCCGGACGGCGGGTTCGCACCTTTCAAGCGGCTCCGCGTGCTCAACCTCCTCGGAAACGCGATTTCCGTCGTCGATGACAGGGCCCTTCGCGGACTCCGGTCGCTGGAGGTGTTCGACGTGTCCGATAACCGAATAGTCGCGTTGCCGGCGAGCGCTTTCCGAGAGTGCACCAAGTCGCTCAAGGACTTGCGCTTAAGGAACAACTCCATCGGCGTCCTCGCGCCAGGACTGCTCTCCGACCTGAACCAGCTGGTCTCTCTGGACCTGTCCAGGAATGCCCTGACCGGCTCTTGGCTGGACTCCGCGACCTTCGCCGGCCTGATCCGCCTGGTGCTCCTCGATCTCTCGTACAACCGAATAGAGAGACTGGACCCCTCTCTCTTCCAGGACCTCTACACCCTGCAGATCCTGAACCTCCGACACAACGAGATCGCGACGATACCGGTAGACGCTCTCTCGCCGATGAGCAATTTGCACACCCTCGAGTTGGCGAGCAATCGTCTCGTACATCTCGACGCTTACTCGTTGAACGGGCTCTTCGCGCTGTCTCATCTCGCTCTGGACTCGAACCTCCTCGAGACGATTCATCCGGACGCTTTCAGAAATTGCTCCGGCCTCGAAGATCTCGATCTCTCGCGGAACAACCTGAAAACCGTGCCCGTCGCGCTCCACGACACGAGGATGCTCAGGACCCTCGATCTCGGGGAAAATCGGATAGAGAGTCTCGAGGAACCGGGATTCAAGGGCATGTCCAGCCTTTACGGCTTGCGGCTGATCGGCAACGAGATAGGGAACGTGACGCGGTACGCCCTTGCGGAATTGCCGGCGCTGCAGATCTTGAATCTTGCCAAGAACAAGATCGAGCGCGTCGAGGAGGCGGCCTTCGCCGACAATCCGGCGCTACAGGCTATACGTCTCGACGCCAATCTCTTGCGCGACGTGTCCGACGTCTTTCGACGCTCGCCGGGTCTGCTTTGGTTGAACCTTTCGGATAACGCCATCGAGCTGTTCCGCTATGACTTCTTCCCGGACACGCTGCAATGGATGGATCTGCACGGGAACGCCATCGAGAGCCTCGGGAACGCTCAGCCCCGCTCCCGACTCAGAACTTTGGACGTGTCGTTTAACAAGATCACCAAGATACATTCTAAATCTCTGCCGAACTCCATCGAACTTTTCCTGATCAACGATAACGCCGTGGAGGTCGTGGAGCCGCACACTTTCTTTGGGAAGGAGAACCTCACCAGGGTGGACCTCTATACCAATCGCATATCCAAGATGGACCTCTCCGCCCTTCTGCTCGCCCAGGTTCCCGACGATAAATCTCTACCGGAGTTTTACATCGGGGGCAACCCCTTTATTTGCGACTGTAGCATGGAGTGGCTACAAGGAGTGAACTCGCTGCCTCTTAGACAGCATCCGGTCGTGATGGACCTGGGGTCCGTGTACTGCAGGCTGCCCCACGACCGTCACATATCCTACGTGCCGCTGCTAAAGGCCAAATCGTCGCAGTTCCTCTGCGATTACAAGATTCATTGTTTCGCCCTCTGCCACTGCTGCGATTTCGACGCGTGCGACTGCAAGATGACCTGCCCCACGAACTGCACCTGCTACCACGATCAATCGTGGTCGGCCAACGTGGTGGACTGTTCCCATGCCAGCTACGACCGGCTGCCCAGCGGCCTGCCCATGGACGCCACCGAAGTCTTCCTCGACGGCAACGATTTCGGGGAGCTGACCTCGCACGCCTTCATCGGCCGGAAGAACCTCGAAGTGCTCTTTGCCAACAACAGCAACGTCGTCGCGATACGCAACCACACCTTCAGCGGCCTCCGTAGACTTCGGGTCCTCCACCTGGAGAACAACGCCATGGTCGCCCTCAGCGGCGTGGAGCTCGCCCCCCTGGAGAACCTCCGCGAGCTCTACCTGCAAAACAACCTGCTCAGGTACTTGGACAACGACACGTTCGCTGCCTTGCGTTACCTCCAGGTCCTGCGCCTGGAGGGCAACCGATTGGAGACCTTCGCCATGTGGCGCCTCGGCGAGAACCCCCTCCTCGAGGTCGTCACCCTGTCCGAGAACCCTTGGAGCTGCGAGTGCTCCTTCATGGAACGCGCCCGCCAGTGGATCTCCGGGAACCTGCCGGTCGTTCTTGACTGGCACCTCTTGGTCTGCACCACGGGGATCCCCGTCGTCCTCCCGGAGAACGCAACCTCCTCCCAGCCGACGTGCACCGCCCTCGCGGGGGTGACTTCCATCGTGGAGATCCGCTCCCTCGAGGCCCACCTGCCGATCATCCTGACGGGACTCTTCGTCCTGGTGGCCACCATCGGCCTGCTCTGCGGCCTGGTCAGACATCGTCGGCTGCTTCGCGACTGGATCTCCGGGCGATGCGCCCTGAGGAGCGCCCGGTACAAGACCGCCGCCGCCTTCGAGGACCGCGAGAAACCCTTCGACGCCTACATCTCGTACTCCGCCATCGACGAGACCTTCGTCTCCAGGGTCCTGGTGCCCGGCCTCGAGAACTCTTACAGACTGTGCCTACACTATCGCGACCTCGGGGTGCGCGTCAACGTCGCGGACGCCGTGGCCGAGGCCGCGGACTCCTCGCGGCGCACCATCCTCGTCCTCTCGAGGAACTTCCTCCACGGGGAGTGGGCCAGGTGCGAATTCAAGATGGCCCTCCGGGGCGCCCTCAGGGAGAAGGGCAGGTCCGCTATTCTCCTCCTGGTCGGCGGGGTCTGCCCGCGGGACCTCGACGCTGATCTCAGGAAGAAGATCTCCTCCCACACTGTCCTCGTCTGGGGGGACAAGCTGTTCTGGCAGAAGCTGCGGTTCGCCATGCCCGACGTCCTGCCCATCCCGGTCCTGGAGAGGCCGCTTCCACTGCCACCGCCACCACCCCCGCCGACGCTGACGCCCCCGCGAATCGAGCACTAGTATCCGAGGGGGAGCGTTCTTTAGGTAAAATCTTCACACTAATTGTAGCGTTACCTCTGATCAGAGGCCCCTTTTTTCCCCACACTCGGTGCCGATCGTCTACAAGGATACGACGCGTTATCCTTCCCCAAGGCACGCACCTAATTCGAGATGGCATGCTCAGGACTTGACGATTTTTATCTCTCGCCAGAGAATTATTTTTGGGAACTTATTAATAATAGCTGGAATAAAAAGATGGCTCCGGTGGGCTGTCAAAAATCGCGTCGGATGTTTCGTATACTCCTCGGCAGTTGTGGCCGAAAAATCCTCCAGGAGTTCCTGGCGCGTTAAACGCAACACCTATTTTATTCTCGCGCTCTCTTTCTTTCTCTCTCTACCTCTGTCGTCCTCTTTTTAGCGAATTTCCGACTCTGACTTCTTAACTTAGTGTTCCGCCAGACAGTACTTAGGGGATAAAAAAGTTACGCCCCGTAGCGTTATGCCTCCCCTTTGTGTCGGGCTCGAAAAATGTATTCCCTTTGATTAATCAAATTTACGTAAATTTCACACCGTCATGCATTTGAACAAGTATTTTAATAACGCTCGTAAAATCGCCCCCTCCAAGCAGGCCGGGTGTCGGGAATTTTCATTAAACTCTGATACTTGCTGAGTTTTTAATTGGACAATTTTCGATGTAGCTCAATATACTTTCGGCACGGCCGCGCTATAGGGAACCGTTTGCAATTAAAGTGAACCTTTTCATCGAGCCTTAATGAATTTAATAGATGACCGTAAACTTTTCGTTCACCTTCGGAAAGAGTCTACGACTCTGCGCAGTCATTAGCGAATTTACGATTGACATACCTGTCGCCCAGTTCGGCGGATTTCCTCGTGGAAATGATATCATACATTATTAATATCGCTCGACAGGAGCCGTTTCGAGCGAGGAGTTCTTTCCAATTTCCATACGTTAATGCTCATTGTTCTTTAAAACCCGATTGAGTTATTTCTAGATGGGTGTCAGAAACCCCGATAATTTTTAAACGCTCGAAATTTGCAGTGTTTCGCGGCAAAACAGTTCAAGCCGTGATTTAACTGCGCGGGATGGTGTAATCATTTTAACATAGCATATGCGATTGAATTGAACGAACCATTAAAGATTTTAAGATCAACGTTCACGTCGCGAAGTACCGCGAAACTCCGTACAGGATTTTAGTCTTGTATTGTTTATATCTTTTGATGGGAATTATTTCCAGCGCGCCGAATTATGTCCAGTTAATGCTCATTGTGTTTTAAAAGACGATAGAACCGTTGATAGGCGATATTCGGTTTGATTGAGGTTCGGTCACTGGTGGTCAGTTTCGGTCACATTTTCGGACGTGTTACGAGGTATGTTCTAATCACTTGCGGTCGCGCTAAACATTGCATCCTAGGGCACCCACTCAGCGACATTTACTGACCCTGCCGTCATCCCTGCTGACCGAAGCAAATCGTCCGAGCTAATTAATTCCGACCGATTTTCAAAGTGTCTAATCAACTACTCCACCGGTGACAATCATTAATTCGATATATCCCGTTTAAACGAAAACCGCATTTCCACCGTGCTCGAATCCGACCTGCAAAGGATGCTTTAATTCTACGTCGCGGAGAGAAGAGTTCTCCTTTTTTTATTTTTATTTTTCACCGATTACTTTAGCGTCTCCTCCATCATGTATCTAATTCCGGAAGGGACGTTTTTACATTGAAAAATGGCCATTGCGTGTGCCAAAGGCGCGGATTCGTCTTTCCCGGGAGCGCGATAAGAGCCTAATGAATTTTAATTCCCTACACCGGACCTGCGCAGGGATACGTTTCTCTGGGATACTTTTCCACGTCCGCCGTTTTTTAATTCCTGAGGAGCGGAGCGATCGTTGCGGGACTCCGTGGGCAAGATTTTTGTACTTAAGGTGAAGTGAAACACGTCGAGTAACTTGATCAACGTCGATAAAGAAGATTTTTCTAAATGCCTACGTTGCCGACGTTCGTTTTTATATCGACAGCTGTACCGAATTATATTGGGTATTGTACCAAATGGCATACTCCACCTGTCGTTTTCGTACAATAATTATCAAGAAATCGAAGTAAAACTATAGAAATCCTCTGGATTCATGCTTTCTGGGGCCCTAATTGACTGCGGAGGGACCCCCTGCGCCATCTGTGATTTCCAGGTCAATTAAATTTTCACTCCGAGACCTCGTATTCCCATCGTTTTAGCATAGAAGCGTATATAACACTTTTTTTGCCCTTATCCCGTTCAAATGCGAGTTTATCGACTATCAAAGTGTTCTAAGTTGTCGTAAAATTGTCCTGACCCTTTCGATTCTCATATGTGCCCATAATTATGAAAGTGGTCTAAGTCAAAATTGAAAAAAAAAAAAATGAGTTTATCAGTTGTTTCACGCCACATTATTTCAAACTAAATTAATTCAATGTAATTTCGAAACAAAAAATATATGACTTAGACCACTTTCATGATTATGGGCACATATCAGAACCTTCGATAATTATATACTGATCGAAATATGAGAGCTCGACGCCATTTTGGTTCTGATTTGGGCTGAGTTAAAAGATTTTTTTGAAAAATCCAAATTTTCAATGTGTCAGGACAATTCTTAGATGATCAGGAGTGATGTGTCAAAGTTCCGGACAGTTTGGTCTAATACCCTTAAAAAAAAGTGTTGTATTCAAGTCGACTGATTTGAAGGGTGTTTCACTTCACCTTAAGATGGTTTTCAATTTTCTGCTCGCGATAGAGCCGGAGGCGCCGCGGCGTAATCATTCGCCTCCCTCGTATCCGAAAGTGAGAAATCGCGCGCTACGGGGCTTTTTACTTTCCTCAAAAACGGAAGTTCTCGGTCGGGAAAGTTTCCTGAACTCTCGTAGCAGAGGAATAATGTCGTCATCGGAACTCCAACATAGCGTCGCATATGGTGCGGTAACTTTCAGGCCGGGTTATAACGCCATGCGTGACACGCCGCATATTGATCTATTACGTCGGAAAAACAGATTCAAGTCGGTAATCAGGTTTTCGCATTCAAATGCAAGAAGTTGGGACACGCCGGCGGAGAAACTGTATTTAACTTCTCCGGGACGGGGGAACCGCGGAAACGTGTCACATATGATGGTGATTTTCAGCCATAATATATCTCCCGCTACGCGGAGCTACATAATGGATTTACATTGTTGTACATCCAAGTGCTTAACTCGGCCCCGTATGAAGATATACGAGCCCGAAACGTGGAACGAATCGTTAGGACCCCCGCGATTTTACATTTGGCGTAAACATTAATACAGCTTACCGGTGGAATGGCTTCCGCGTTTCGTCTTTTAATCCCGTAGGATTTTATTTTATTTTATTTTATTCTTTTTTTCCCGGGGTTTCGAAAAAATGAATATTCGCCACCCATCCAACCTGTGGGGGAAAAATTCGGTCACAATGAACGCGGCTCCACCAAATTGTGCGAGGGCGTCGATCCCCGAACGATTTTTGACCCCGGTGGAATTTTTCATTTCATTTCGATTAACCTGCCCGAAGAGATAAGGTGAACTGTACGCACTGTGTATTACTTTGGGAAAATTGTAATTTTGCGAATGGTTCCCCGATTTGCGCGGCCTTTTAATTGAACGCCAGAGGTTTTTCATGTGCGGTATGTGCGAAATGTGCGATGGAGAACGAACGATGGATTTTCTATTTGCGTTTCAAGTGGAAACAATACATTGCGTGTAACGTGCCCCGCAGTCGAGGGCATCCCTCATTGTTAATAACACGTAACAAATAATCCTCCTAATGTTCTTGGGGGCGAAATGTGGAAATTCTTTTATGCCCGGGGTATTAAAATCAAAATGAAATCATTTAGGGGTAGAGTAATCGATCTGGCCACCGGTAGTATGTTCTGCATTGATTCGGCCGTCACCTGTTCAGACCCCATTAATCCATCTGCTTCACCCTGGGGTCAATGTGGCTCAGGAAATGATAAATATATTTCGATCCGATTTTCCTCCCGGCTTGGGCTGCAATACCGGGGAAAATTCTCCTGCTAAATGAAGTGTGCTACATTTAATTAAACGCGCCGTCCTGGCGAATGTTATACAAATTGGCAATTATCGCGTGGGTATAATATGGCACCAGTCGTCCGGGGTGATCCGTCATAACTAGTATACGTATGGACTGTCGTATGGCAGTTACGTCTGCTGATGAGCCCAAATAATATTTGATTAATATCGGCCCCCGTGAAAATCAATTTACCCGTTCCCTGATATTTAGCGAAAATAATATCCTCGAGAGGAGAGGAACATTTGTAATAGTATAACATGTACGGAGAAACCGTGACTACTCCAAGAATGGTAAAAATGTTAGATTTTAATTAAATGGATTGAACGTTTCTTCTCGCGACATACTTTTGAAAATATGTCACTCTCAACCGGAGGATGTTGAAGAGAAATTAAAATGCTTCTTTCTGGGTAAACGTTTGTACTTTCATCCAGGGGTCGCCTTATACCCGTTAGTCCTTTCCAAACAATATACAGAGAATGTTTATGGAATATGAATTAAACATTCAAGCCCGAAGGGTTCTGCAAAAAGATTTCGGCCACCGAGCGGAGGTAACTGAATTTATTTCGGGCCGAGATGAAATGCGAAAAAGGAAATATCAGAAGCTGAAGAGCATGAATTAATTTCCCCGAGGGAGGTGTGCAGGCGAAAGCTCGGTACTGGCCTTGACTTTACTATTGTACCCAGAAATGTGAAATTAGAGTATATTGAAGTCTTTATTGCACTGTACACTCTCATTAGGACATTGTTCTCTCGGCTTGACTCGGGATATTTGTAAGGTTCACCTGGAGCGCTCTTTATACAGGTGGGTTGGGGCAAAACTACCCCTCGCAGGATTCATCCCCGTGTTATCTCCTGCGAGGAAGGCGCGAAAGACACGCGGAGGATGTGACATGCCGATGACAAAAGATTTAAGCGTTCCATCGCGAAGGGTCGACAAAAAGACCGTATCCTC